AGTAAAATTAAATTATTGTTACTGTAACGAACAATGTTCTTTTATCAATGGATTGAGTTATATACAATAATTCCAATTCTATTTACAGTACAGCAAAGAATTTAGTGCTCTTGTGATTTTATTAATATTTTTATATACAAGAGATGATCTGAGTGACATTCTAGTGACAAACGAAAGTCAAACTGGCCATTCTTATTTAACGAATAATTAAGTAAAACGAAAAAACCTTTCGAAACGTAAATAGACAACCTTCCAAACATACCTATTGTGCGGTAGTATATCTGTTTTGCTTTTTATTACCTAACCTACCTACCGCATTTATATTCACAGTGGTGTCGTTTATTTGTCGTTGACCTCTGAATTAATGTACATATTGCCTAGAGATTTAAATAGTACGTATGTTATGTCCAGTGTGTTATAAATTACCATCGCCTTGCGAACAAAAATGTGTCTAAAGTTCATACTAACATAAAACTTATAAAATTTTATTCCACAAATTTAATAAATAATGCGGCCTAAATAATCAGTTTATAGTACCACCGTCAGTTTACTAATAATTCTTTCGCTTAGCATTAGCCTTATTCCTATTGGTGATACTTTATTATAATATTAACCGAGGAAGTTTATGAGCATTAAATAAAATATGTGTGGGTAGTATAAGTTTGGCCTCACACATCATCTAGACACGGTATACTGAAAATCCAGTGTTTGTGTTCTACTGTACCTAAAGTGTAGGGCGGGTTTCATTTTTTTTTTTTTTAGTTTTATTGACGGATATACTATATAGTCTTATTTAGTCTTACAAAATTAAAATTTGAAACAACCTACACTTTGTTGACAAAATTCGGAAGTGGTTTATTTAAAGATGGTTACTAGTATAAAACTATACTAATTTGTTTAGTACCTACTAAAAAACTAAGAACTTTAGTAATGGAATAGTAATAAATTATTACTTGTATTATATTTCTTTAAAATTAAAAGTGTAAATAATGAACATGCAATATTTGAAGTAACCTTAGCGCCATATAACGAAGTCTAATTGTTAGTAAGGTACATCTATCAGCTATGCATTTTATCATATAATGTGACGTTAGAGATGTGGAAAAACCGAAAAAAACTACCCATACAAGTATATTTATCAACATGCACTTTTGCGTGACTAGACTTGACTTCGTGCATCCTATCAGTTATTTTTGCAGCAATTACAAGTTCAATTAAAAAAAACTTGATAAGTTCACAAGTTAATAATTATTTACTTCACATACTTGATTGCTAAAAAGTTGTAAATTAACATTTGCATTTTCTATTAAAATAAAACTCACAAATAAGACATACTAGTCTCACAAATAATTAGAAATATATACATCATTTTAGAGATAAATATTAAAATTAATTACCCACGTGGCTATAACGATTTGAACTGATTTTTTTATTTTTGAGGAAAATGGAAACACTAGAATGTTTTAATCTAACAATATTAAATCATTACAATTGTTTTACTGTTCTTTTAAACGAAAATATTTTATTATTATATTTTACTATATAATAAAAACTAATATTGATTTTTTTTTACCATCACACACTGTTTTTGATATTGTTGAAATAGAAAAACGCGGTAAATTGTTGATGTGGGTGTTTTTATGTTGTATATTATTTAGAATTTTATTTTCTGGTTGATACGTAAGATAAATACTATGACAGTTTTGTGAGTGATTTCAAAAATTGACGCTCAATATGATGACGTTAATTCCAAAATTGGCAATACTATAAATGTTATTTATATTTTATAAAATAACACCCTTCTGTATTTGTGGTTTATGAATCTGTGTTGAGTGTTTACCCTAGACATCCAGATTTTTGGGAGAAAATTAAAAATTGTATGACAAAATGTTTGCAATTAATAACTCGTTAATCAAAATTTATCCGTTGACCCCCTCTCAAAAAATTAATCACATCATCTTAAAATTTTGACAAAAAAGTGCTCCCTGAAATGTCCAAAATATAGTTGTACTTTATCAATGCATTCATAGTTTTCAGAATTACTTATACAGGGTGACTCAAAAAAATGATTGAGGTCGTCTATTTCATTGATCAAACCAAGAATAGCTCCCCTTATTTTCGCGAAAATTTGAGTATTGCAATTATTAGTAATTCCCGTTTCCGTCCGTCAATTTTTATTAGGAACTCTGGACCGATTGTTGCCAAATTTTATATGTATTTTAGTAACATTGTGTGCAAGCTAAAAGGCTAACCAAAGAAAAAGTGTCTTAATCATTTTGTATATTAATGGTTATCTAAATTTTATAAAAATAATATAGTTACTATAGGCGTTATCATAAAACAAATAAATATAGTAAAATCAAATTTTATATTTTTTCAAAACAACTCTAATTAGTCAATTGTATTTAAGAAGCGTAGGAAGTTCTGTCTAAATAAATAATTTGAGACTAATTTTTTTACACTTTGACTGATATCAATATTTTCTTGCTTATAGGGGCTATCACAAAATAAATATACTCCTAAAATTTTTCAAAATAAATTTTATAATTTTTCGAAAAAACAAGATTTATTCTACTGTATTTAAGAAACGAGGGAAGTTCTGTTTAAATAATGGTGGACCAATTTTTTATAAAACATCTTATAAAAGTTTACTTTACTATGTTCTCAAAATTTCATAAAAATTATGTGTTTTCAACAAAAACTGATTTTATTGTATCTTATTTCGGACAAAAAAAAGTCGATGATGTTTTTCAGGTAATGTCTAGAGTTCTATAAGCTGAAAACGGTGGCGGAAACCGCGTCCTGAAATTTCCATAAATAACTTAGATATTGTTTTTAAATCTTTAATTTTTATTAAAAATTTGTGAACAAATTATATTTATGATTTCATAAGAAAAGGTCTGTTAATAATAGAGATGTTACATTCTCAAAATGTATCGAATAGTCCAGAACGGAAAAACGGGGGATTCATGGCCTCAACACGTTGCCTTATTTTCAAAAGAAAGGAAGAATTATTAGTGCGGAGTTACGGTTTTAATGAAAACAATAATAGACAAGTTTGCTCAACAGAAAAGCAGGCGAAGGATTTAGTGTAAAAAAAGTGTCCACACAATCACTCACTAAAAAAGCCTTAAGATTGGTCATTCGTGATCTGGGTAGGTACCAAATGTTGGAATGACGAAGATTCAGTTTGGTTTGCTAATTTTTTTGACCTACTAAAATTGTTTTTATTCATTTTCGTATACCGCATCACTAAAATGGCTAATATAAGCCAGATGAGAATACTTGTCAGATACAGACTTGGCCACCAAGCGTGCACTCCTCAATAATCCATGAATTACTAAAAACAGGAAAAAACTCAAATTGTGTGGTTTTTTGAAGACATACATTAAAATTATTTTCAAACAGACAGAGTGTTATGTTTTTTGAGGCGTAACACACAAGTTAGTTTTTTCAATTGAAATACCCTATGCATTTTTGATTATTCTGATTGGCGTCTTAGGCTTCATAACCACAGTTTATTGTGGAATAATATTTTGTGCAGAGATAAATAAAATAAATATTTCAGTGTTTTTCAAATAGAGCACCTTGTATTTTATGACTGCATCTTGTTCTATTTTTTCTCTTTCTTTTTTGTCAAGTATTTTCGATATTTAAAAATAACAGAGTTTTATTGCATTTTTTATGTTTTCGGAGACATATCGTCATATTGAAAGAGAGAGAACAAAAAATAGTAATAAAATGGACGTGTTCTATAAAAAACTTTTTAATTTTTTTTTAATATTCTGTATATCGAAATTTGATTTAATTGATACTAGAATACAGATCCTATCTAACAGTAGTATTTACATTTTCTTGTAAGATAATGCGATATAGGTTATTTTAAAATTTTTAGTAATATCGCCCTCCATATCTCTTCTACGCCACTGATATTGTGGTTCCACTTCACGGAACATGCGATAAGTAAACGTAAACAAAAGTACCATATACTATAAATAGTACTCTAATTCACGTTGATTTTCAGACCTTCAATTAAAAACACCGCCCTTGTCATATTTCTATCCTATCAGGTGATTTGAGATGGCAAAATGTTTGCTTTTTATTTTTTAACGATGTTTTGATGCATCATGCTACACCATGGATTTAGTAGGTAATCTTAATGCATTCTAATAAGGCCGTGTATCCAACATTCTGTTAAGTGTGTGTTGACTAACACAGTTAAGTAGGATATACTGAAAAATAAAAATATGTATAACATTAAGATATATTTCTCAAATTCATTGTAATTATTTACATAAGATTCAGTGCTTAGATAACAAATTATTTAGTTTGCTTGTTTTTTACAAAGTTAGAAGTTTTTCATTGTAGACATTTGTATATCTCGAAGCGGAATTTAACACTTTTATTAGTTTGGTGATTTAAAAATTTGAGCTTCAGCTTCGAGTTATACAATTATCCCCATCAGTATTTATCATATTAAATAATTTACTCTCCTATCCTCTTCAAATTCAATATAGATAATCTTTTTTGGCACATTTTTTGTTTGATCTAAGAAATTTCCTGATAACCATTATTGCCAGTAGGTATAGGTGTTCATAATTTTAATTTCAAAAACATTTTAGTATGACCAATGATTATGTAACATACTTCGAAGTTTAAGCGTAAGTATAAATCTGAATGTCGCTGTTATTATTTTTATAAAAATCATTTTTTTTTTCACCACAAAAAAGTTTTTTAACGTTAAATATCACAAAACTTGTTAGTTATAATTTGAATAAACTAGCTTTAAAAAAACTGTTTTCATTTTAATTTTACCGAACACTACAGTGTACAGAGTTCAGTCAAACATGCGAGTGTCAAAGGTGAAGTCCCAACGATCTTTGCTCATGTCACTTATATCAACGATGAGTCGATTGTTTTAACGCCACATTTAGATATCACTGACACACTACTGATAGTAAAATCACAATATAACAACGTTGTTGAATTAAAAACAAATATTTCTACGTAAGTTTATGGTTTTATTTATAAAACTGTAAAATATGTTACAATGCCTATACGACCAACAGTAAAATTATTCCACTTATTAAACTTTATTCCTTATGTCAACAAAACACTCACCATAAAAATGATAAAATAGGTACTTAAGATAACCCCCCCTGTTAACATAAAAGTATTGAATTACAACAAATTCCCATAAACATTATACGTTTATTATTTATCATCTTTACAAATTAGCGCGTCTGTGTGTTTTCAGTCCTTCAGCCAATTTCTGACCCAATGTTGCGTCCACTTGCGAGAAATTCTTAATAGCTCTTTCTTGAATAAAGTCGGCGGCATCCTTTAGATGTCCAACGATATTAGAAATAAGTCTTTCCCTCGCTCCTTGATCCAGTGTTTTCTGATAGAATATTCTCGGTTGGCTGTAATTATCTTCTTCTCCGCTATCGTAGCGTGTAGCTTCCCCAGAAACCGCAAACGGTGGACTAAGAGCTTTAGCTCTAGAGTCAGCATCAGGACCATTGAAGCTATTTGGATGATAGTTGGGCGCACCACCTTGGTTGCTAACAGCTTGAGGCCCATCGCGTTGGTAATTGCGAACTTTGAAGGGGCAGTTGACCGGAAGCTGCAAGTAGTTAGTTCCCAGACGATGTCTGTGCGTGTCACCGTAAGAGAACAGACGTCCCAGCAACATCTTATCAGGAGAAGGCTCGATTCCTGGGATCATATGAGCAGGACTGAACGCAATTTGTTCAACGTCAGCAAAGTAATTTTCAGGGTTGCGATTAAGGACAAATTTACCCACAGGAATAAGAGGGTAATCGCCTTGGGGCCAAATTTTAGTTAAATCGAATGGATTGAATTTAGAAGCTGCTGCTTGTTCCATTGTCATAACTTGAATGTAGGTCGTCCATGAAGGGTAATTACCGGTAGCAATAGCGTTGTACAGGTCCTTTATACCATAATCTGGATTGGTACCGCTCAACTCGTCGGCTTTCTTGACATCTAGGTTTCTAATACCTTGGTCTGTTTTGTGGTGGAATTTGCAATACACCGTCTTTCCTTCCGCATTAACCAGCTTGAAGGTATGAGAACCGTAGCCGTTCATGTGACGATGTCCATCCGGAATACCTCTATCCGAGAAGACGAACAAAATCTGATGTGTGGTCTCCGGTCTCAATGTAACGAAATCCCAAAACATATTTGCGTCTTTGACGTGCGTCTGAGGATTTCTCTTTTGTGAGTGGATAAAGTGAGGGAAAAGAATAGGATCACGGATAAAGAAAATAGGTGTATTGTTTCCGACCAGATCCCAGATACCATCTTCGGTGTAAAACTTCATAGCAAAGCCACGAGGATCGCGAACGGTGTCAGCTGAACCGGCTTCGCCAGCGACCGTTGAGAATCTAATAGCAATCGGTGTTTTTTTGCCAATATTCGAAAATACTTTGGCTGCTGTGTATTTCGTGATGTCGTGAGTTACTTCAAAGTACCCGAACGCACCGGCTCCCTTAGCGTGCACAACACGCTCAGGGATACGTTCGCGGTCAAAGTGGGCCATTTCTTCAACGAAGGCATTGTCTTGGAGTAGAATGGGTCCTCGCGGTCCCACGGTCAACACGGCGTCTTTTTCGCCGATGGGTGTACCATGGGCAGTCGTTACCGCAGAGTCATTCTGAAACAAAAAGAGAAGACAACTGCGATAAACTTTGTCAATGATAAAAGTTGTTATTTCGGTTTAGGACGAAATAAATAAGAAATATCGATAATTCTTGTGGTTATGGTTAAGTCGTGACCTTAAAATAAATATGTAATCTTATCTTTGAACAAGTACATCACTATCAATGTTTGTAATTGAAAAGAAGCGTATAAGCTCCTTCAGAATGGTCATAAAGATTTTGTGGACTTATGGCTTAAGGGGGTACTGACTCTTACAACGTTTTCTAATTCCGCTGTCCCAAAGAAAAAACACGTCAACCAGAGGGCGGAGTTTATGTTTACTGTTTCTTGTCCTCTCGAATATATCAATACCTCTGTTCTTTTCGCACTATTACAGGCACCCATATTAAATTTACAAAGAACGATGCTAACATCAATAGTGAGAAACGAACTGGACTGAACTGCTCATAAATCAAAGTGAAGTGACAATTTTAGCACCCCGTTTTAGGTCACATTTCCAAAGAAGATGAGGTTTTTGCCGTAACTTATTAGACAAGTACTTGTTTTCTTGTTCGAGTATCTATGTAGTCACAAAATTTCAGTACGTACGGTTGTGTAGGAAATTAGTGATGTGATATGTGGTATCTGTCAGTCAACTCATCAATTCAAGTAATAATTTTATACACCTTTGGATTTATAATAAGGCACACTAGGCACTGGCCTAGGGCATCAAAGCTGGAGGGGCCCCAAAGCCTTTAGAAATGTATATTTAAAATAAAAAATTGCAACATTTTATTATCTTAGTACTCATTGCCAAATTTTTAATTGTTCGGGTAATTCTTTGTGGTAGGTCACCGCTGCCGACACAGGAAATCACATGTGCAAAGGCGGCCAGTTTGCGAGCAAATCAGTACGGAATACTGAACCTTATAGAACCCGTCTCCTTATTCTAACAAACGTTGGTTTGCCGTACAAACCGTGTGCAAAGTAGTTTCCGAAATTCCTGAGAATTTAAATAGGAGATCTAAACAGGTCATTTAAGAAACAATATATTTCAGCATCGTACAGTAGCAGATTTAGTAGCTTTCGGCGCTTCGCAATTTGTGCAATAGCATTACAATTTGATTTTTATTTTAGTACCTTTGTACTGTAAATGTTATTGTTGTCAGTCATATTTAGAAAAGCTAAGTTTTCAGTTCTTGTAATTTTCATAAAAGTGAACCCCATTACATTTTTTATTGAAGAATTTTTTATGTTTAAAATAAAATTAAAATTCGTAAATTATTAATAAATTTAAAAAGGCCCTTTGACATTGCCACAAATTAAAAAAAAATGTCAAATTGCTGTTAATTTTTTTGAGAAAAAAAATCACACGATTGCGGAACCTACAGCTACTTACCGACCGGTAACTGTAGGAAAAATCTTTCTTTTTTTTTATTGTACTGGTGCGGTTGCAGTGAGGAGTAGGAAGGTCACTGTGACCCCGTCCAGGTTTTATTAGTAAAAAAAAGTAGTTTATTTCCAACAGGAAATATAAAAATTGGAACAATTAATTTTAAAGTGGCTGGTTAAAAATAAAAATAAAAATATATAAAAATTGGAGCTAAACTAGTACACTTAGTATATGAACAAATTATAACATATTACCAATGCAAATTTATGAGTCTTTTTGTAAAAAAAAAAAAACTGAGTGTGGTCAATTATTTAATTAGAAAATCTATGTCGTCTTCTGGGGTTCTCTTTTCCTCAAATCACGAATTGGCAGATTTTTGGGATGTTGAGGATAGAGTAGCTCAGGCAATAAACAATTGTAGTAAAATTGTTCAAGACGGTATTCCATTTTTTGTGACCAAAATACGTCGTCTCTGGAAATCTGTAAATGAAAGGTAAACATATTTTTTTGTTTTGATTATACTGATAGCCACTAGGTTCTATATATGATCGTAGCATAATATTTACCCTTTCAACTTCTATACCGAGAGGTGTCCATATTACAAAATGGCAAATGTCACGCCTCGTAATATGCAATTGGCCCTGAATCTGAAAATAGTAATCGGAAGATTTTTTTAGTTGTATTTTCCCATTATTTGAAGTGCAATATGCAAGCTTTTTTTGTAAAATTGCATCTATTGGTGTCATCTGAGCCGCAGAGTAGGGGCATTTAATCTCTATGATGGCGTTATTGCCTATTAATCCATCTGGAGATGCGGCCAAAAATCCAAAATTAGCGTCTATAAACAACCCGCAAGGTTCAACAGTTACATCGTTCGCAATTTGAAACGCTTCTACGGCCATAGGCTCATGTGTTTTGCCCCAGTCTGTAGCGGTAGATCCCGAAAAGGTACTATACAACAGACTTTTCACGGTCGCTTGGCATGAAGTTGAATGCCTCATTTTACAAATTTTTCCAAAAACAGATGCTGTTAATCGCTTATATCTTTCTTCCACCCAAGTTCGATTGTTACTTTGACCAATAGTCTTCTGTTGCAACTCATTTATTTCCAGTGGTGTTTTTTGAAGAGCATCAAGAAAGGCCTTTTTTTCAATCTCATAGCTGTCTGGCAATATATTCGAAATGGCGGCAGCGTCAGGTCCATAATCAGCATCAGTTTCTGCGGGAAGTTTGATTTTCTTTTTATATTTTTCGGGAAAAAGTTGTCTTCTTGTGAGTTTGTTTTCATGAATTCTCTTCTTTTGAGCCATGTAAGATTTTACGAATTTACCAGGACTTCGCTTCGTTATGGATTTGTAGATCAAATGGGGATATTTGTAATGTCCTGTATTGAAACTGATTCCTGCCGCTTGACACCTTAATTGAAAAGAATCACGACCCGCCAAGTTAATTCTTTTTCCGCCTATAAATTTAGCAACTACAGAATTGTAACACTCTGCAGAGTTATTGTCCATATCTAGCAACAAACTATCTGCATGTTGAACAATTCTGTTTAGGACTATTCTAATGTCTTGCAATAAACCCGTGCGTGTCATGTCCGGAATGTAATTATTTGCACTGTCTTTGTCTGTAAATAACATAATTATTAAACAACAAAAATATCATTTGATTACTCCTGTATGTTTACCTTTACAAAAATATGTAGCACATTTAGAATGATCGCCAAATATGTGGTATATTGAATTAAGAATATCGGTGCGCAGACTGGCTACCTTTTCTTCATGACTACCACTTTCAGAACAGCGATATTTCACAGCGCTTTGAATGGCTGATCGAAATCTTCGGATGTTATTTTTTAATAAAAGACGCTGATCTGGAGTCACTATCTGCCTCGTAGAACTAACTCGTCTAGTAGTCAACTCTTTGAGGTGATTGCAGAAATTACGCAATAGATGATTTCTACACTCAATTTTACGCCGTACGCTTAGCCGCGGATTTTTTTTCAAATTTCGGTCACCTCTCGCCATGCTGTCTGTACCTACTACACTGCAGTTGCACGTTTTCTGGTCTGCAATCTGCATCGACCATAATAATTTCCAGATGTTTTTCTTGGGTTTTTTCAGTTTAGGGAAACATTTGACCAGTCAAGTTATACACACAACAAAAGGCAGCTAAGAGCTGCCGACACTATTGGGGAGATGCAGTGGTTCTGTTTCAAATAACTCCCTCTACACGCCAACCCGTTGGCAGCAACTCGAGCTGCTGATACCAAATCGTATTGTGCAGATGTCTAGAATTTTGCAAAATACAAGCGCATTGTTAACTTTTTACAAATTTTTATTAACCAGAACTGCAATTCATGAATGACACTACACGGCCAGCTATACTTATATTTAATCGCTGAATGCTGTTTATCTATATTTACGTTGAAACATTACAATAAAAACGCTTATTTTATACCGACTTATTTCAACTGATTTTTAGAATTATAAGCATTCATGAAGCTAGCCGTGTAGATAAATCCTTTCTACAGGTACAATCCAAATTTTGTTAAATTCCAATGAAAATTCGACTCGCTGTTTGCAAAATTCTAGACCCATGTAAGTATGCTTTTACGAAGTGAGTCAGTACCCCCTTAAAGAGCAAATTTTACTTTCCAGGACTATTAAGCCATGATTGCCATGGAATACAAGAAGGCCTCTATAAACAGTGAATGGCAGCAACTAATTAAAATATTTAAAGAAACCTTGAACCTGACAAGAATCGTAAGTTCAAATAAATAAATATTGTCAAAGTAAATTATTAAAACAGGACTTTTTTCAATTTCGCTTGTATAAAGTATAATAATAATAAACTTTCACTATACTATAAGCAAGTACTAAAAGCACAATAAAAAGCATAGTGAGTGTTTATTTATAATTATAATATAATACAGTGAATTATTATTGTACCTTGCATCAAGCGATAAAATGTTTACAGAATAAACACGAAAAAACCGACAAAGCTATCCATTTATTAGTAGCAGAAAATAAAAAATTACAAAGTTTTCAAAGATGCCGATATTGTCCCTTAATCCGAGTCTTGTAATTAGACCCTGTTTTAAAATTGCGTAATGTGAGAACGACGAAGTGAAAGTTCTTACGCAGTTAAAAGTAGGTAAATCATTTTTTCAATACAGTTCAGTCATTGTGTAATGTGTAACGTTACAACTGAAACCCTTATAAAATTAAGACAATAATTTGTTGCCAAATTGATTTAACAATGTTATGTTGACTGGTAATTAACAGTTATTAAAATTCGTTATCGGTTTTAAATGAATAATGCAACCATACTGGTTACATTATTTGTAACCATGCAAAAGTTTCCTAAGCATTTTTACATAACAAGAGCGACAAATAAACACAGATAAAATAAAAGTCATTATCATAGAGATGTTAAACACGTCGTAATCGCCGAAAGTTTATAAATGGAACTGAAGGACAGAATTAAAAACTTCTTATTCATAATGGATTTTGCCAAACAAAATGTAAATGAAACTGGCATTCTAAATTATTTATTAGTTTTTTACAAAGCAAACAGGTTTATTAATCCATTATTAATACTTTGACTATTACAATGCTTTACAGATTTTCCGCCAGAACGAATTGTCTTTGGCTTAAAACGCTTTAAATAAAAAGTATTTTATTAATTAAACAATTTACAGAGGAAAGCAGCGATAATGACAAACAGCCCCATATTGTATTACATTTGCATGCATATATTCCTAAAAATAGCTGTTGTAAACAACTTTGTCTGTTTTGAGCTTCATCGTTATCTTTTTTTTGTTACGATTGTTACGTACTTTGTGTTACATATTTCTACAAAGTTGTTATCACTGTAAAGTTTTTGAATTTCAAATACTGTCGCCAAATTTAACAGAAGAACTTCGTGCTGTAATAACTCTGTTTTTCTACGACTAAGATATTTAATTTCTAATTTGAATATAAAGGCTTTCAGGCCACAATAGAACTTAGTATGTAATATGCATAATATTTTCCACCATAGGATTCACTTGACTTACGCTAATTCCTTTGGAACAAATTCAAATCAGGCTAAATAAAAGTTAAATTAGTTATAGTTATTTACAAAACGTTTAAGGGAACGCTGCTTCTGTTTTTTGTGTTTTAATTACAATTATGGATGTTTGAGTAAGTTACCTTCAGCCTTCAGCAACATTATTTTCTTACATTGTATTCATTATCTACTCAAAGTGCATTAATTATGACCTTTCCTGTTAGTAGAGTAAATTCATAAAAACATAATTACTGTAGATAAAAATAAAACTGAATTTGTTGTGCTCCATCCAAGTTGCATTTAAATTTTATATTTGATTAACTCAACAATATGCAAGCATTTCAACTTTTGTTAAAAAAGAAAAAGGTATAATTTTTTTTAGCAGTAGTTTTTGATCTGCACAACATAAAATGGCGAAAGGTCAGCGTGTGACTGTCATATCGACCCTTGGTTAATTCGGTATGCAAACTTAAATTTCGATACAAAAATCGCTTTAACATCTAACGAATTCCTGTTTTATTTAATCTGATTGGCTCCCAAAAGTCCAACGTCTCTTGTAAATATTTGTCCTTGAACTAAGCTATTCATCAATTTGTAAAATGTTACAAATTTGAAAATAGTTTTCGTCTAGTACCTAAGCCATGAAATTTATTTTTAAAATAATGACTCTGCTCTGCAGTTATTTGACCCTAACTATTAGCAATAATAAGGAACAACTACGTATCTGTAAAAAGTATTGTGCATTAGTATGAGCTGAAAGGAATGCCACAATTTATGCGAATAGGACATGAGTACTTCAACAATGGAAGAAAGTGGCTGTACTTTGTACTTATGGGTTGTGTAATCACTAATCACCCCAACATCCCTAATTTATTTTGTTTGGTGTATTTCCACACATGCCACATGAACAGATGATTGAGAATTTTGTAAGACTAAAATTAATCCCATACTACTTTTACTCGTAAGTACAATCTTCACATTGAGGTTGTTTTTCTTGCCGTTCAATTCGCAAGATATAATTAGCAAACTTGTTTTCTGATTATAAAGCAAACGCATTCATATTCAATAGTCTAGAACTTAACAACATGATTGTCTTGTTTTTAAACACTTTTCCACGATTATAAAATAATTATTCGTAGTTAGATATTAAATACCTAACTCAAGATTTTATCATGCGTTAGATTTATAAATCAAGTGGATGATTTCTTTACCTCTATCTCGATAATATGTAAAATGTAAAGAAATCCGGTTTTGCCTGTTTAATCGTTTTATTTTTGGAAGTGGCACCGGTGTGGTGGCACTTCGTCTAACACTTGCATAATGTATACGACGTAGGTACTTTTTAATAGCGTCATTGTGGACATTGCTGTTATCAAAATAATTACGCTTTCATGTCAAGTAAAGTGTGTTACATTTTTAGAATTTAAATATCCGATGACTTTGCCATTTCTGTACTTGATAACCTCATATCACTATCATTCGCGCATTTACTAGTAAAAAAATAACTTACCTTTGAATTGTTTTTGTAATCCGCGAGTTGACTGGCGACCTTATCCGACATATTGCGGTATTGAAATGAAGCACAGTAAGAAAAAAAACAGAGCTTAAATTGTTTGTTGAAGTCTTGTAAACGTTGCCGATACCGACACTGGAGCCTCAACGTTTGTGTGATAGACAGAGACATGCCTCACGCGTTTATATTAACGTGACAAGTCGTAAGTCACGTGATCTCCAGTGGCGTAGTATCAGGTCGCGAAAATACGATAAAAAAATGCTTGCTCATTTTTTTAATTATTATATTTACAAATTGAACTAAAACAAAACATAAAATGATAATGTGGACGATTAACTTAATTGGAAATTATTACTTTCATGAAATTAGACGAAGCATGCGACAAAAAAATCGTCTGAAGGAGCATTTCGGGGTTGATTTTTTTTTCAGTGTACTTTATAAGGTACTCAGCCTTTTACGTCTCAGCAACAGTTTTTTCACATTTACTTATCGTTTTTGAGATATAAACAAACCTCATTCTAGTGCAACCTACTTCACACGATGATAGCTATGTGGCAAATTCGCATATGGAGTAAAAAACTTAAAAACAGTCGTAGTAATAGTATATTACATATCGAGGGTGGTAAGAAGCTAATTACGAACGAAGTTTATACACGAGCGAGCGTAGCGAGCGAGTGATGTAATATGAGTTCGTAATTAGCTTACCACCAGAGTTGTGTCATATACTTTTTCTACGATCTATAATGAAGAATCACTTTCAGAAGAATTTTTTTTGGAAAAGCAAATATTTATAGTTGCTATGGAAACTATTCAAACAGGCACGTAATATATATATATTACGTGCCTGTTCATTCATTACATGCCAGTGGGTGTAACTATGGTTTTACTATGAGACTAGACAGTTCGTAATTCATGGATTACTATGTAGGAGTAGAAAAACATTTTAATGGCAGGAAAAAGACTTTTATTATTATTTTTTATATGAGTCTCTTATAACAGGTATAATTTATTCCAAAATTAAAAATCCACCATCTGTTGAATTCAGTTTAAAGAAAATTTTAATTATTCTAACATTGGGACTATAAAGTTTGCGATTTTCTTCTCTGTCAATTTGAATTTTAAAAATAAATTCGTCTGTCACATACATGAATGAAGGAACCACATACCAAAATTTGCTAGACCATCTTGGAAAATCATTTCGCTATATTGTATCGAAGTTGTATATAAATTTATGTCTTTATATATGTTATACTATTACATTTAATAAAGTTATGTATAATTTAAATAAATGTTGGAATCTGATAAAACGTAAAGTAAAATAGTCCAAAAGCTATAAGGTTATATAACAGGGCTGGCTTTCAAAGCGACTGGTTATTTCGGAACCCTTTGCGGCTGCAAGTAGTAGTAGGAACGAAACGACCACTGGACACGTTATTTACGACCTTAAAATCTGTTCTATTACAAACAACTTAACTTCGACACAATGGGATAATTTTATGATGGCCATATAACCTTATGGCTTTTGGAGTACTTTACATTATTGTTTTATAAATTAAGACGTAACTTTCTAATAACTTCAAACATTAAAAGTACATAATTTAAATACTACTTGAGGATATTAATTTGACCGATTGAAATTTCAAGGTTCCTTCTCTCAAAATGGATCAACGTTGAAGAATAATTTAAAAAATGCCATAAATGAACTATTAGCAGTCTTGAATATGGTGTGTTATAATGTGATACTTAAATAAAAACATCCAGCAACTTTAGTTAAGTATAACAACTTTACAACTTATAACTTGATGATCAAAAGAGTTAAGTCTGAATGAGTGAATTTACGAACAACCTAATAAAAATAGCATGATGTGTTGACGACACAACCAAAATTTCACACATTTCTGATTAGAAAAACATTAATAATTATTGTCTTTGCCATTTCTATTGAAACATCACCTGTTGATTTTGCTTAAAATTCAGCAATTGGTAACAGCTTTCAGTTGATTGATAACGGCTTTTAATTAGAAAATTCTCTGAATATGAACGTTGCCAAATTTACCAACAACAAGTGGTGTTTCAATAGAAATGGCAAAGACTATAATTAATTACGCTTGATGGGAGGAAACTGTGGTGTCGATGCGATTCATTTACGTTTGAACAATTCCTATTTTATTAAACTACAAACTAAATTTAAGTTACTCTTTATTTTTACTTCCGTCAAAAACAGCAAACATTGCCAACTTCTAAACCAATTTAAAAAGTGACATTCCCTAATTCTTTAAACTGCCTACCGTAACTGAAGATCTCTACACATGGTTGCCTATGTTACTGACTGACATTCTTACTTTATTTTTCAAATGCAAATGCGTTGTTACTTTTCTCTCGCAGCGCGAAATTTTAATTCAAACCTGGACACTACAATATCATTCAAAGATTTATTATGTGTAAAACAACCAAGGAAAAATATGTAACAACGAAATTTGGCCTTAATTCCAAAACGTGTAATAACACAGCTTAAATACTTTAATTCAATAATATGAGGTTTTGTAAATTTTTAAATCTGAGATGTGTTCTGTCTTCGTAGTACAAAAATTGAAGAGTTGCATTAATCCAATACATCAGATACAACTGCAGAGTTTGTGTTTGTCTGAATTATTATTGTTTGTATTTATAAAGTGAATCTGAAGGATATCAAGCATTCTATCAACATAAAAGTCAAATGTAAAAATAGACACTTTAACCAATTCGTGTTTATTGCAGCAATAAATTTAATTTTAAATTTCAGTGGATTATAAAAAATACATATAAAGTAAAGAAATATGATTCTCTTACTAGTATTTTTTATATTTTTATCATCTTCAAATTACTAACCTGTAATTATGTAATGATGTACAATAACAATTGCTTAACTAAGTAACAAGAATAATAATAATAAAAGTATAACAAAGACCGCCGCATTTCTCAAATTTTGTTTAATAATAATATACTTTTTTTATTTGCAATAACATCCTGTAATTCCAGTAAATGCAATAATTGTATAAAATAAAAGAGTGTTACTGCAATGAAGATAACATCGCAAGTTTATTTAAAACGTATTTTTTTAACTGAAAATTTCTCTGGGCCTCCGTACGTCACTAAAGTAGATTTTTTTATTATTGGCTGATGGCACGATTAAATAAATTTGTAACAACTGTCATTTGCTAATAACAAAGGAAATGCTTTTTTGTTTCAAAATTTATAGATTGTTAATATAAAAAAAAATATCGGGTGTGGTCGATGTATTGTTTTTTGTTTTAATAACAGGTATTGCCTAATCAATATTTGACGTTAATTACGATAATTTTGAAGTACAATTTTACCTATCTCGTTGTCTTGATTTTTAATTTTAAAGTCAAATGTTAATAGCAACCGAAAAAATTAAAACCCACACTCATTTTTGTTAAAATAATTTAATTTTTTGCATAAAAAAAATAAATATATGTCGACCCACAAAATCTTATCTAACACAGTGAAATTTCTTTTGAATAAATTGGAATATTATTTTACTGTTGCTTTTACATGTCTTACTTTTGTTCTTATAAAGGTGATTAAAAAGCTTTCAGATTAGAGTTGGCCATGGAAATATTTGTGATGTCTTTGATTAAACTGTAAAATACATGCATAACCTTTTTTTTAAGTTTAAGGTTATGCATGACTTTTACGGTTTGATCAAAGACATGACAAATATGTATTTCCACGGTCAATTCTAATCCGAAAATTTTTTAATCACCCGTTAGTTAACACAGATTTTAGTCTGCGTTGTAACACTCACTCATTGAGTCAACTAAAATCATCCCCTAATTCACTATGCATAATGAGAAAATATTAGGACAGAAGGAAAAAACCTTGCTTGAATTGATAAGATTTGGTGAAATAATATTAACATCATGAAACAACAGTTTACTCAATTAGAACACTATTTACATATACTTCCTGTATTGGTTAACCACTATTCATTCTTTTTTTCTATTGGTGGTGTTTCATACAATTTAAAATCTATTGGCTTATCATAGCCCATAAGTCTTGCATAATGATCTGGGTTCTCAAATAAACGAGGATCAATGAAAAGAGGTTTACCATTTGCAAGTAACGTTGTGAACATTCCTGGTACATCTGGGACCTTCACATTCTCGACTTTAAATTCAGTCTGGAAAAAATAAATCTATTTAAAAAACAATGACTTAACAAGAAGGCAATTTAACACTTCATATAAAAATTTAAATTCAAATATTTAACTTACAAATTTGTGATAAATCAATGCAGTGGTGTTAATCCACCAATTTAAACAATCCCAAATAATAATAGAATGTAGCATAATAAAACTAACAAGAAGTAAGTTATGTTTGTAAACACTCACCTCTTTTGTGATGCAGAAGAAATTGACTGTTTTAGCAACATAACTATCTGCAGTAGGTTTGTAGAATAGGTGTGTTACATACTTTTTTGTTATTAGATGTAAAAGAAATGGGGTAATAAATGTAAAAAACCCAATAAAGGAGTATGCTGCAACTATAATAGGAACATTTCCAGTGGATACTATCGCACTATACAGAAATGGTTGTCCAACAATTCCCACTATACTAGAAGATAGTGAAAAGACCTAGAAAGTCAGATATATAATACTAATTTAGTAGCCTCTTTAAAATACCTTAACAGCCTTAATTTGTGGTGTTAATATCCCATAGTATATTTCTTTTAAACTCTGTGTTTCAGGAGGCTTGTGGTCTGTGGTGAACCATAGTACTGGATGAGACCTTTTTGTAATATTTTGAAGCGATGTGTTAAATTGATGAATTGTATTAGGTTTTAACGTTTTGACTACTCCTGGAAGAATTGTAATGCAAGACCTTAAAGACATTTTTGATCCCCTGTAAAAACTTAACCTACAAAACTGGCAGCTATTTCGTAATTCGTTTTCGCGAGGAAAATATTTCACGGCAAACCCTGTGATTATTTAGATGTTGTCAACTTCAACAGCAATATGAATAATGGGTTGCCTACTATCGTAAACGTTTATCACAGGAGAAAAGTTAATAAAAATGTTCTTTCGCTGTATTTGTGATGAACAGAAATTAGGCGAAAAACAAAATGTAGGCCGTATATTTTATTTTGTACACCGGAAAAAAGTAGAGTCTGAAATTTGGCGAACTCAAAAATAGGTCGTCGAATGGGGGGGAAATGCCGTGTAATTCTTTAAATTTCTAATATAGATAAGCTTTGGAATAAAAAGTCATGTCGTTGATAACTAGAGAGCGGATTTCTGTCGGGCTAGACAAGGCCAAACTCGGTACGGCTCGTACGGGATGGGAATTCATTGCAGTTACCGGCTGCACTTCGTTTATTTGAGATTAGAATAACGCTGCTTCGTTGCACTCTGCTGTTAATTCCAGTTCTCATTTACTTAGCCGTTTGATTAATAAATCGTTAATTGTATTTATGGAGTCAAGTGACAATTAAATTCAGAGATTACCTATCACCCGCTTCTGAGTCCCGGCGATGCAGCGCGTCCCCACCTATAATCGTGACGTAGCCCGACAGAAATCCGCTGTCTATTGATAACACCAATTTTCAACGTATTCACTTGTTGAAGTTAGATATTGATATTACTGTTCTGCATCTGGTTGTGCTTAGAATCTAATTCCATGTTCTGCATTTTACTTGATAATGACAGGTGTGAGGCATGTTCGTGTCTGCACCCGGCTTGCATATAACGACCCAGGCAACATGATGTCGTCTTTTTCACGTGAATAAATGGTCATCATTTACGTCATAGTGACCAAAGATTTCACGTGATATTGACGTACCAATGACGGTCAAATGTCTCGTCTAGATGACGTCATTTTCTCACGAACTATTGACGTGATGTACTGACGTCTTAGAGTCGTCATTTTGTAACGAATTATTCACGTGATTTACTGACGTCCTAGAGACGGCATTTATTGTCCATTTTAAGACGTTTTTTATATTTTGATTTTTAGAAAAAAATATGCAATAAAAAAACGCTGAAATAATTTTATTTTTTTATATTGTTTAGCTTAAATAAAATATTATAATTCGTTATAATCACCAAGTAAAGCCCAAAACAAAGTATATATTAATTAAAGTTAAAACAAATTAGTGTAAAAAAATTAAATTTACTACAATTTTGTACAACCAACAATGAACTTCAATAAACAAATAAAAAATATGTCAATTAAACAAATTAAAGATAAACCACTCCTAAGAACACAAACAAATCTACATACAGGTAATTACGAGTATAATTAGTATAAACAAAAAAAAAAGGATATTGTACAATATATAATCAAAAATAAACGTTGCAATAAAATATGCTATTTAAAGAAAAATCACTTTTAAAAACACGAAGAAATCTATTTAGTTACAAAGAATATAAAAAAAACTATAATAAACTATAGATCAGTCTTAAAAACACAAACAAATCTATTTACAAAAAATATTAAAAAAAAAACTAGAATAAAGGGAAAAGACAATTGAATCGCATTGTTGAAGTTACTTGATTGAAAATGCACTGTAAAACCACAATATATGTAAAACTATCTAATTCACGACGACTTGACTGTCCCCAACACACAAAAAAGTACCGTTAAGAATTAATTCTGTTTTAACAATCATATCAATCACCTAAGTTTTTTAAGTTTGCCTCAGTTTATTGCACTGAAAAGAAAAACCCGTTAGAGTGCATGGATTAATGGAAATGCAATCATTTTTTCATCTATGAGCAATAGCAAGCATTTGACTATTATTAAATTTAAGGGATTACCGGATTACAGCTTGAAGTAGAAGACAAATTCTGTATTTTAAAAATGCTAAATTTATTTGAATCTAACGGACAATAGTAAAATGGTTGCATTGACAAAAACGTACAGCCTATTAGGAAAATCTCGTTGAGGGTATTCCACGATTTTTTTTTAATGCACTACACGAAAGAATATCGTCTACAAAATGCGAAGATGTGGTCAATATTTTTTTTTTACTTTTCAATAACTCAAAAAAAAAAAAGTTAAATTTAAAGTAATTTTTTCCCGCGGTTAAGTTGTGCATTACGTACGTCATGATGACGTACGTAACGCTGACCAATGGGATCAGCGTAGCGATGTGGCAACTCCGCTCACGCTGCTTTAAAGTTAGACGACATCGGTATTTAGCCATCTTGAATTCTTATTGGGTTATGATAGGTTAGGTTTATTTATGTTTGGTCGATCTTAGTGTTAACGTTTTGTAATTTGCTCTCATTGACGCTTAAAATAATTTAAAAAGTCAGTCGTTTCCATTATTTGACATTGTTTGTTTAAACACGGTGAGTAGAATTGGCCGTTTAATATTTACCACTTACCAAAACCTTTTACAGCGACTTACAACTTAAAATTGTGTAGGAAGATTATCTGGGAAAATACGGCACAGAATAAATAGTCACAATGGAAAGTGAATATGAGCAAGCTACTTCTACCAATCTCCCTGTAGTTGATGATGTAATGATAGATTTGTATTATCGAAGAAATGTGAATTTTCTGATACCAGGTGTTGAAAATGTGAAAACCGAACGGTAAAGTGTACAACGTAATAATGATTTGATAGTAATTATTCATTGTTATAGTGGAGCTCGTGCAACTTACGGCGACGATGCTGTTGGTTATGTGCAGTTGAGACGACACGATGAGATTTGTACTGTCAAAGCTTTGATTGCACCAGAACATAAAGTTCGCCTAAAAGGCTATGAAGTTTCAGTAAGAATAAATGAGTCTGAACAATGCATAATTGACTCAAAGTGTTATGACTGTGCTGCAAGTGAAGGTATGAATGATTTTATGTTGTATGAGTGTATGTATTACGTCTACTTTTCAGGTGGTTGTAAACATGGTGTAGCCTTACTGTTCTGGTTATACAGACGTACCTTGGAGCCTTCAGTGACTTCTGTTGAATGTTATTGGAGGAAGTCTACTCTGTCTAAAGTTGGCAGTACTATAAAAGGGCAAAGAATGAGAGAGTTGTTTAATTTTCGGCAAGTTCCTTCTTTACCAACAAAAGGAACGGCATTTTTGGACAAAGTAATTTCTACCGCATTAAAATCAGATAGTCATTCAATTCTTGCTACAATGTATAAGAGTGAAGTGAATATTTTGGAGAAAGCTTCGTTGTACCATTTATGTCTTTCTTATAAAAAAACGACTGATGCACCAAATGCAGAAGACTTCATATCGTTTTGCCAAAATAATTTAAATAGTGAAATTTGCAAAAGTATAGATACTTTAACAATATTGCAGTCACAATCTAAAGCCTGGTTTGATGTTAGATATGCGAGAATAACAGCTTCAAAGCTGCATGAAGTTGCTCACTGCAAAACTGTTGATGGAGCTACAACTGCTGCAGTTCTGACAGCATCAAAATTTAGAGGAACAAAGGCCATGAAAAGAGGCCTTAACCTTGAAGAAGATGTCTTAAAAGTCATAGCTGAGGAGAAAAATATTAAATTAGAAAGAGTAGGAATGACCATAAATCATATGTACCCAATATTTGGTGCCTCGGCAGATGCAATGTCTGATAAATATTGCGTTGAAATAAAATGTCCAATAAAGACAAATACTGTAAAAAATTACATTACGCCAGAGGGTGAAATAACTCCTAAACCATATGCACAACTGCAGCTGCAAATGTTTCTTAGTAAAAAACAATGGGGTTTATTTTGCGTTGCATCTCCATCTTTTGAAACGGACAGAAATGTGACTATAAAGGAAATTCCTTTGGATGAAAATTTTTGTCACAATGTAATGGAGCAGGCACAAGCTTTTTGGAAAAAAGCGATTTTTCCAATTTTAATTAACTGATGTTTTCAATAATTATACTTATTTATTTCATAATTATTTCTTATTCATTTCAATAATAAATAAATCTAAATCCCGTTATACCCCAATCCCCTAGTATCAATAAAAAAAAGTTAAATGCTTCTATTTATACAATTAATTTATTGTTTCCAATAAAATACAAATAAAAACCATGTAAAAACTATTGTATTAATGGACCTTGCAAATTTATCAAACCACAAGCAACAATTACAATATGATCCAAAAGTGGCACCAAATTATGATCTGTGGTAGCATGTGGACCCAAGATTCGAAATTCTCTGATCCTACAAATTAATCTTTCAATGTGGATCCTCAACGCTGCGACAAGTTTCGACTGACGTACCTCATCCTTCGTCATTTTTCTGGTGCTTGTGACGCTGGGAGGTCTGACTAGATTCACCTTTTTTTTCTGGAAAAGCCCTGCTACTTGCTTGAAGCCCCTATCGGTCATTACAGTTGCATTTTCAGGTACAACGGTCAAATACTCTGATTGCTTAATTATTTCTACATCTGATGTGCGACCTCCAAACCCTTCTGATATAAAATTAATTAGCCCATTTGGAGTACTTGACACTAAATACTTGCATGTGTTACAAGTTTTATAATTGCTCCAGGTTAAAGCTTGCTGATAAGCTGCACTAGGTCTTTCAACCTGTATTTCGAAGCAATCAATGATTGCTTCAACATCTTTATAATACGTCTGAAACTGCCTAGGTAGAACTCGCTGAATTTTACTTTTCTCAGGCCAAAAAATTAACTCATTGAGTTTTGTAGCCATTTTTGGCAATGTTTTTGAAAATATATTACTGACACCACTAGTGCTTAATGCAAAATCTGTCCCTAATCGTACAAATTGGTCATCTGTTCGTATTTTCTTAAGAACGATATAAATATGTTCTACAGGAACTTCTAATTCTTCTTGGAGTAATTTGATGAAAAAAAATTCTGACTTGGGCAAGCCCAGATAAAATCTGCTATTATTTTCAATTTTGAATATTTCCACTTTCACCAATAGTTCTTTGGATATCATATTAGTTTCATGCAATGACTCCGATGATGGCTCATAAACACTTCCACTTTGGAGTGAAAGG